GTCCTCATGCTCCTGTTTCACCTGCTTACTACAGGTATCATCACTGCTACTGACTTCGATTGAGCATTTGTGATTAATTGTGATTGAAGCGCCTCTGCTCTGTAGAGTTTCTCAGGACTGACTGAGGAAGATGCTCTGAGGCTGGCCTTTTAATACGTCCACGTTACCATGACACATGGGAAACACTTGAGCTACTCAAATTCGGCTGTCTTCGCCGATACCGTGGCGTAGTCCCATCTCGATGTCATTGTACTATAATACGATGACTACACGACGGCATTGTGAGGGCTTCACGCAGTCGTGTTGCCTTCCTAAGACAATCGGGCAGCTTCTTGTTTCCTTCGTATTGTCTTCGTTAGGCGAAAACTGCCCGATGGCACCGATGATCACACAAAGTAAACGACACGATTTGACAAGATGCCCTCACGATGGCCTTACGAAGGGCAAAATGGACACACTAACTCAACACGAAAATGAATCTTCGTAAGGTATTTTGGCAATTTTTTGGCATGCCAAAGATTTTGCCACTGCTCACGAAGTTGCTGCCGGAGCCTGAGAAACTCCACCGGCGGTCATACGATGGCTTAAGATGCCCTCACGAATGGCCCGATGTTGCTACGATCAGAGCCGAATTTGAACATTTCCTTTATCGTGTGTCCAACTTATTTCCCACAACTTAATGCAAATTAATTGATATCTCTTATATGATGTACATTTCTGGATATCCTTTTTTATATTCTGTCTCTTGTTAGTAAAATAAACCTACCATTACAATTATAAACTGTTAATTTCTTTGTAAGTGGTTAAACTTACAAAATCGGCAAGGGATCAAATCATTATTCCCTCCGCTGTATTTGAGTCCGGACAAGAGAGGTGGAACGAAAGGCAGACTAACTTTTCCATCTCTAGATCCATGTCTCTGGCATGGCTTGATATTCAAGATTGAGAAATATAAATTATAAGAAAACATTGTATTTGCTTCGTTGTTCTTTATGTTGTTTTAGTCCAGGTCTAGTTTCATAAATAATGGCATGAGAATGAGCAGTCCACCATCATCCCGGTTCCCAAGAAAACAGGATCTCAGGATTAAACGACTACAGACCCGTCGCCCTGACCTCTGTGGTTATGAAGTCCTTTGAGCGCCTTGTCCTATCACACCTAAAATCCATCAAAGACCCCCTCCTGGACCCCCTGAAGTTCACCTACAGAGCCAACAGGTCTGTGGACGATGCTGTCATCATGGCCCTTCACTTCCTCCTCCAGCACCTGGACACAGCAGGAAACTACTATGCCAGGATCCTGTTTGTGGACTTCAGCTCCGCCTTCAACACCATCATCCCGGCGCTGCTGCAGGACAAGCTCAGCTGCACGTGCCCTACTCCACCTGCAGGTGGATCACAGACTTCCTGTCTGACAGGAAGCAGCACGTGAGGCTGGGGAAACACGTCTCTGACCCCCGGACCATCAGCACTGGTTCCCCTCAAGGCTGCGTTATTTCCCCTCTGCTCTTCTCCCTGTACACCAACAGCTGCACCTCTAGTCACCAGTCTGTCAAGGTCCTGAAATTCGCAGACGACACCACGCTCATCGGACTTATCTCTGGTGGGGACGAGTCTGGGACCATCTGGTGACTTGGTGCAGGGACAACCACCTAGAGCTCAATGCTCTCAAGGCAGTGGAAATGGTTATGGATTTTAGGAAGAACGCAGCCTCACCCGCCCCCATCACTCTGTGTGACTCCCCAGTAACTGCTGTGGAGTCTTTCCGCTTCCTGGGCACCATCATCGCCCAGGACCTCAAATGGGAGCATAACAACTGCTCCCGAATCAAAAAAGCCCAGCAGAGGATGTTGTTCCTGAGGCAGCTGAAGAAATGCAACCTGCCAAAGACAATGATGGTGAACTTCTACCCCTCCATCATGGAGTCCATCCTCACCTCCTCCATCACCATCTGGTACGCCGCAGCCACAGCCAAGGATAAGGGCAGGCTGCAGCGTGTCGTCCGCTCTACAGACAAGGTGATCGGCTGCAATCTGCCATCCCTCCACGACCTGCCCGCCTCCAGAAATCTGAGGCGGGCAGGGAAGATAGTGGCCGACCCCTGGACACAAACTGTTCACCCCCCTCCCCTCTGGCAGGAGGCTGTGCTCCATCTGGACCAAAACCTCTCGCCACCTGAACAGTTTCTTCCCCTTCGCTACCGGCCTCTTAAACAAGGCCCGGCCCCCCCCACTGACACTTTACCTCAGTCATAACGCAGACTCTATACGCATTACATTAATGCACACAATGTCCAAATATTGTTCAAATATTGCTTACTGCACATATTTCGTATTTTATATTCTATAATTCACTGCATTCTATTTCGCTGTAAATTACTGCTTTATTGTATTGCTATCTATCCATATTGTTTTACAGTGTTCTTAATATAGTTCGCTATCTGTGTAGTCTTTTTAATTGTTTTGTTTTATATTTTATGACAAGTCAAATTCCTCGTACGTGAACCTGCAATAAACCCGTTTCTGATTCTGATGTTTGTTGCTTACAGATTTCAGATAAAACATTCAAATCAATCTGTGTTTGCATATAGTTAGTAAGGCTGAAGCAGCTCAACAATCGATCAACTCCGAAGCTAAACCTGACAATACATCTGTTCTCCTTGGAGATCCACAACACTGTCAAAATACTGCATGAAATGAGTAAAACACCTCAATCAGGTGACAAAACAAACCTTAAATACCTGTGCCATAGGGAATCCTACAGCGACACCCTATGGCACACACAGTGAATAACACCCAATTGTGACAGCCCAAAACCCAAACATGAACTCTCATCTCCGGCCCCTACGCGACAGGCTAAAGTAAATGTACTAAGTTTATACAGTATATATATGTTCACTTTTTAGTTACTGTGTCTGTACCTATGTACCCCTGATGTCAAGGTGTTGTGTGTATATAATGTGTGATGTAAATATATATTTTCTTGAATAAAGGAGAACAGATATCTATATATCTACATTGAGAGTCAGTTGGCTAAAAAGTGTCTAAAATCAGGGAAATTACCATTCTGGCCAATAACCAATAATCCAACATGTGAGAAATCATTGAATAAATAATTCAAATAAATAATCTCTTTATTGGATATAGTTTATTCTGCATCGTGATTATCTTTTTAAAACAGAATATTAATTTCATGATGATACATGACAAAAAACAACATCAAATCTTATAATAATAGTTAAGAAGCTGGAACCAGCGAATATTCAGCATTGTTGCCAGAAGGGTGTTTGAGTAACGTAAAACGGTTATAGATAATTTAAGGACATTTGCTTCAAGTTTATATCCTTAATAAGGATGAAAATAGTACAATTAATTATTTTCTATTTCAATTATTTGAAGATATCCTCACATTACATACATGCAACGAAAACTGATATTTAATTAGTTTGAACGTTAAAGGTAATCAATTTTATTTAATATCTTAATTTATAATCTAATAACATCTAATCTATCAAATGTCACACAAAAGAGTAAAATGCCTGTTATATATCCCACAGCCAGAGGGAATTAAAACCCGAAGAGATTCAGTTTATGACCACATAGCACAGAGAAAACATTACATCTTCATATTCTGGAAGCTGATTCACCAATTTTAGGAACATATCTTAAAGTTTGCATCCCTAAAGAAAAGGAGCAATAAACACAATGTTTAACTCAATTGAAGATATTAATAACAGTGAGTAATTGCACAACACATTTTTAGGATGAAATATAAGTTTCAAATGAAGAATTAAATTGTTGTATGAAATGACTGTAAAGATGCATTAGAGGTCATCATGTTAATTGGCAATAAGATTTCCTGGAATTGCCCTCTATTAAATCTAATATTATTTAAAATGTCTCATTATATTTTATCTGAAAGAAACATATAAAAAGTCACAAAATAGGAAAATAAATCCAGTTTTTCGCAGGTCAAGCAGATACATGAACAGTTAACACCCCAAACATATTAACTTCAAAACCATATAGAAAACATTACAACCCTTATCTTATCTCACTACTGATAGATTATTCAGATCATTGTTGCAGCTGAATTCTGTAACACGAGGACTTTGAGGAAAGAAATGCACTTTTCTCTGATAAAAATCACACACAGCAATTCAGCTTTAGAGCTCATCCTCCTCCTCGTGGAAGACTTGTCCATCCGGCTGCTTCCTCCAGGCCACTTGGACGTTGTCGTCCAATCCCTGGGCCCTTAGGTTCTTTTTCGCCTGAGACACAAAAACTCATTATCATTATCGTTCCAGTAAAAACAGATGATTTCTCTTTAGCTCACTCATCTGAAATGGTAGCTGTTCCCCTTATTTCTTCCAGTGTAAAGGCTTACCTCAGGTTATGGAATAGTATTTGTACATGTTCCTAATGCATTTGGTGGCATGTGGCTAAGTTTCTGCTATTTACTTCTGCACATATTTACACGTCTTCTTACTAAATGCTTGGGTCCTGTTATTTGTGGCCAAAGTATTGAATGGATAATGGATATAGAATTTCATTCATGGTCATCTTGGTCCATTTCATTCGTATTGAAATTCATTTACTACATTTTCTTTCGTTGAATTCATTATTCTTTAATAGATAGTTATTTGTTTCCTACCTCTTTCGTCTCTTGTTCTCATGTCATGGGAATTTCCTTTCTGGTGATGTTTTTGCATAAAAGTAGAAAACATGATTTACCTCCACCAACATCGCATCCAGAAAAGCCGGGTCGTTCAGTTCCACACCGTTTGGTTTCTTCACCCTCACCTTTATCACTTGCATTGAAACAGGCACAACAGCTAGAAACACAAACAAACTTCATCAGTCACAACGTTTATGGTGTCTTCTTTTTCAACAGACTCAATATCATCACTTGCTTTGACGTAGCTGTGAATTTTACTCACGTCCGTAGCAGATGAATGGTTTCTCCACTCCACAGTCCAAGTCCTCCCATTTTCCAGAGTTGTCAAAAGCTGCAGCGACACAAACCTTTGAAGACCTCGTAGTTAGGTTCATTTACTTTCCAGTACTTGAAGGAGGAGTTGCTTCCATCGGACCACTTCCAGGAGTCTCTGTAAAGGCCGATCGAAACCCCCCCTTCAGGTAACAGATCAACAATCTGCTGGTTCTCTGCTGGGTTTCTCACACTGGCCAGGTCTGTGTGGTGTTCTCTGCAGTAGCTCTGGGCATCAGTCCAGTTCATTGGGCTCTCAATGAGGACAAATGCTGCATTCGGCCCTGAAAATGGACCCCAGAGAAGCTGAGTAGAAGCACCACGACATACAGCCTGACATCAATGCCACATCTCTGGTGGTATTGATGCCTTTATAATATAAAATATTACATTTAAATCCCACACATTTGTACTTTGTAATTTGTAGTTCTGGGGTTTTTCAACACATGAATGTTGGCAAGAAACTTTAGTAGTATCAGTGGTGGAATATTCAGATCTTTTAGTAAAAGCAGAAGTACAACGATGTGAAGATACTGTGTTACAGGTTAAAGCTTCATTCAAATTATATTGATTCTATATTGTTCTTATTCTGTTTAGCACAGATTTATAAGATGTGAAACGTAACTACAATTCTGAAACAAGTTTGCAAAGAATTGTATATATATTGTATATCATTTCCTTTTACATTATCTTTGAAATGAAACCATGTGAGAATTTTAGTGAAAAGGGAAATGTCTTTAGTGGAACTGCTAACAAAAGAAAAAAAGTCACAAAGAAAAAAGGTTGGGAACCGCTAGTTAGATAAAGATCAATGCATTGTATTTCAGAAGCTTAAAATATGATTTTAAATGTGTAATATTAATTTTAAGTTTATATTCTTACCTGTGACATCAAAGCAGACCGACCTGTAGGCGATATTACAATCATAATCAAGCCATGTTCCATCAGAACGAAGCAATGTGCATTGTTCATCGTGCCCGTTGCTTGGTTGTCCAGTCCTCCATCGTCTGAACTCGATCTCTCCCGATCCGTAGAAGCTTGGGTCTGACATCGACCACCTCCAGGTGTCCCGGTCATCGTGCAGCCCTATCCAGGCTGACTGAAAGCAAGAAATTGTTATATTTATTACATCCTGTTGAAGCTTTTAAAGCTGCTGCTGAAGAAAGTGTGTATGTTTAATAAAGAGAAGGTTTGCCTTCATGAGACCAGCCTTGGTACGTGGTGATCTAAAGGGAATCCCCTCAAGTCAACATTCATTCACAGCCTTGTTACTCTGAACCTCTTCCACTTTATTACAGGGTTTCATGCTATAGCTTTGGCTTAAAACATGTTCAACTCTGTTTTAATACTCAGGTTCCCATAGGACTTTAAAACAGGTTTAGCTTTCTGTAATAATCTCTCCTTTTTAAATTTAACTCTAAAATAAATGTAATTCATTTGAATTGAAAGACAGAGAAAAGTGACCTCACTTGTTTGTATTGGCCTGCCATGTTGTTCAGGAGCTTCACAACCTCCATGCTGTCTACAGTGGCCAGGTCTGTGTGTTTCTCTCTGCAGTATCTCTGTGCTTCAGACATGTTCTTTGCTTCATAAACAAAATGGTACTGACGTTCAGCATGTGAGGAGACAGCGCTCAGCCCTGTAGAGACACACACACTTTGATTAGATTCAATATCAATTACTGAACCAACTTCTCCAAATTACATTAAAGTTAAACTGTAAATTAAAGAACTTAAGTAATTGTCAGTGGGAAACCAAAATAGAAAGTACTAAAAATTGCTAATGAGATAATATATTTTAAATAAAAATAATAATGACCTGAAAGGGCGATGATGATCAGAAGAACTGTTTCCATCCTTGTCTCTTCCCTGTTCCTCTCTTTTGGACAGAGACTGCAGATGTGCAGCTGTTTATATTATACATTAGGTCAAATGCAAAGTGGATATGGAACTGACACCTTTTTTACATCAGGCTTATTTACTTACATTTGCACATGCATTTACAAGGTAGGACCAATAGAGTAATGTGGGCGTAGGACTGGTGATGCACAGCAGGAAAACCAAATTCATGCCCATAAACAAAAACAATACAAAAAGTCTGAAACAACACTGATCATTTCATATAATGAGAAACCTTTACAGTTTACAAGCTAATACATTTAAAAGATCACAAAACCATTGAAAGAATTATTGCTCTAACTTCCAGCTTCATACTTTGGGTATTCTAGTAAAACATGTGTTCATGCTTTAATGTTACACAAACTTTATTTTCTTTGTGTCTGGATACCTGTTTCAAACGCTTTGTTGTAGCTACTCAAAAGGGTTTTATTGTCACGGCAAAGGCTTGAGTCCATGTTCACCCTCTGATGGTGTTTACTGCAAACCAACATGAACTGAGACACATTCAGAATGTTTAGAGCAGCTTTACAATTAAAAAAGCTTTATGTTTTGAAACCTCACTTTTCAAAAATAACTTTATAGTCTAAAAAATATTACCTACATTGTTTAAAAAAAAGCGTCTTGTCATCCAGGCCAAAAATCTTCAACATTTCACCCAACAGGAGGACACACAGTGGAGGAAATAAGTCTGTGATCCCTTTCAGATTTTGTAAGTTTACCCACTTACAAAGAAATGAACAGTCTATATTTTTAATTGTATCTTTATTTTAAAAGAGAGAATAAGAATATCAAAAAGAAAATTCAGAAATTGACATTATATAAAAGATTAAATTGATTTGCATCTAACTGTGGGAAATAAGTATTTGATCCCCTTGCAACACTTGTCTTAGTACTTGGTGGAGAAACCCTTGTTGGACAGACAGAGGTCAGACGCTTCTTGTAGTTGGTCTCCAGGTTTGTGAACATCTCAGGAAGGATTTTTCTCCTCTCTGAAGATCCTCTCCAAATCCTGAAGGTTTTGAGGCTGATGCTTGGCATCTCGAAGCTTCAGCTCCCTCAACAGATTTTCTATGGGATTAAGGTCTGGAGACTGGCTCGGCCCCTCCATCACCTAAGTGTGCTTCTTCTTTAGCCACTCCTTCGTTGCCTTGGCCGTATGTTGAGGTTTATTGTCCTGCTGGAAGACATGACCCATTGTCAGTGTCCTGGCTGAGGGAAGGATGCTATCGGCCAAGAGTTCACGGTACATGGCCCCGTGCATCCTCTCCTCGATGCAGTGAAGTCGTCCTGTCCCCTTATCAGAGAAACACCCCCAGAGCATAATGTGTCCACCTCCATGCCTGACGGTGGGGATGGTGTTCTGGGGTTATAGTCAGCATTTCTCTTCCTCCAAACACGGCGTGTCGAGTTGATGCCAAAGATCTCGATTTAGGTCTCATCTGACCACATCATCGTATCCCAAGCCTTCTCTGAATCATTCAGATGTTCATTGACAAACTTCAGACGTGCTTTTCATGGTCCTTCTTGAGCGGGGGACCTGCATACTTGTCATCTGTCATGCAAAAAGGTCAGACGCAACAATTGTTTGCGTAGGCAAATAATAAGCAAGTAGCTGAATTACATATTTGAGACTTCAACTTTGTTAAAAAAATGTTATTACCATTTAGTTGACTATAGGAACAAATAAATAGTCGCCACAATGATGTGTCTTTTACATTAATAGAACTTCATGTTGTTAGGTTTCCAATGCTTTAAAGGGTTTGACAGTTGTTGTTTTTGATCCCATTACAAACACATTATCCCATTATCTTATCTTATTACTCATCTCTTTCGACTCCACTTCAAGCGATAGAATTACTAAATTTGGATAAAAGCGTCAGCTAAATGCAATGTAATGTAATGTAATGTAATGTAATGTAATCTTAGTACCCTGACCTTGGCCAGGAAAAACAGGCACTCGCTTGTTTAATTATTTTGCGGTCTAGATTTCTTTATTTTTTTTATTTTTTGCGTGTGTTACCTCGAGGGCCGTATCAAATTTTCTCGCGGGCCGTATACGGCCCGGGGGCCGGAGGTTCTCCACCCCTGATTTAGAATGTATCCATACTCAATGTAAGAGCTTGTGCCTCTTCGGGGGGTGCTAACATTTAAACATACACGTTATTCTTTACTTTCTTCCGTCTTTATATTAGAAGATATTACTTATCTTCGTCATGTTGTTTTCCGTAGCAACAACAATTTCCTGTCAAACAGCGTAAACTCGCCTTCAAAATAAAAGCATCTAAATAAAACAGGAAGTTAAAGGTGGGGTTATTTGTTGTTATATTCCATGGAATGCTCTTAACATCCCGATAGCGATGAATATATTAAATGCTTTGACAATAAATACATAAAAAAAATGTCATCTGTGGAAGCCGTGGTGCTGTAAAAAGCACGACCAATCATCTGAGCCGGCCCGGCTAAAGTAACTGGATGGCCTACCTGCCTGTCAGCCTTCCATCTGTGCACAAACTTATCTCGTGCCCTCATTGGTCATGTGCGCGTTTAAGTGTGTTGGAGGAGGGGCTCTGTAAGGAAGTCTGAAGGAAGAGGCAGATTTTTTCCTGTCGTGTACTTTCAAATTCTAGCGCACTCGAGCTGGTTTCTCCAAAATTACATACCCCCACCTTTAAACATCAATTACATTTAAGACATACAACTGCAACGAAAGTAACAAAACAAGGTAATATCCTTTTCAGCTTCACAGAACACAAATTGGGTTATTTACATAATATGTTTACATGATTTTGTTGTGCAATAAAACAACCAGAGAAGCGATCTGCAAGGAAACATAGCAACACCGTGTCCTCATGCTCCTGTTTCACCTGCTTACTACAGGTATCCTCACTGCTACTGACTTCGATTTGAGCATTGTGATTAATTGTGATTGAAGCGCCTCTGCTCTGTAGAGTTTCTCAGGACTGACTGAGGAAGATGCTCTGAGGCTGGCCTTTTAATACGTCCACGTTACCATGACACATGGGAAACACTTGAGCTACTCAAATTCGGCTGTCTTCGCCGATACCGTGGCGTGGTCCCATCTCGATGTCATTGTACTATAATACGATGACTACACGACGGCATTGTGAGGGCTTCACGTAGTCGTGTTGCCTTCCTAAGACAATCGGGCAGCTTCTTGTTTCCTTCGTATTGTCTTCGTGAGGCGAAAAATGCCCGATGGCACCGATGATCACACAAAGTAAACGACACGATTTGACAAGATGCCCTCATGATGGCCTTACGAAGGGCAAAATGGACACACTAATTCAACACGAAAATGAACCTTCGTATGGTATTTTGGCAATTTTTTGGCATGCCAAAGATTTTGCCACTGCTCACGAAGTTGCTGGCCGGAGCCTGAGAAACTCCACCGGCGGTCATACGATGGCTTAAGATGCCCTCACGAATGGCCCGATGTTGTTACGATCAGAGCCGAATTTGAACATTTCCTTTATCGTGTGTCCAACTTATTTCCCACAACTTAATGCAAATTAATTGATATCTCTTATATGATGTACATTTCTGGATATCCTTTTTATATTCTGTCTCTTGTTAGTAAAATAAACCTACCATTAAAATTATAAACTGTTAATTTCTTTGTAAGTGGTTAAACTTACAAAATCGGCAAGGGATCACATCATTATTTCCTCCGCTGTATTTGAGTCCGGACAAGAGAGGTGGAACGAAAGGCAGACTAACTTTTACATCTCTAGATCCATGTCTCTGGCATGGCTTGATATTCAAGATTGAGAAATAGAAATTATAAGAAAAATTTGTATTTGCTTCGTTGTTCTTTATGTTGTTTTAGTCCAGGTTTAGTTTCATAAATAATAGTAATAATAAAAATAATACGTTTATTTATTATAGTACCTTTCAAAGAAATATAATTCATAAAGTGCTTCACAAGTAAGAACAAAAGTTCAAATGGTTTCACAGAAACATGAATACAATAACCACATGAGGAGAAATGTAAGGTAAAAACAAAACACAGACGACGTGGAAATCCTGAAAGGAACAAATATAATAACAGAACACATCACACACATTTCAAATAGAAATAAAAGCCAATGTAAAAAGATAGGTATTCAGTAGTTTTTTAAAAGCTTCTACAGAGACTGCAGAGCGGATGTCTATAGGGATCTCCTGATCTCCTGAACTTCCCCACTCAATCTATCAAGACCCGAGCAGTTCTACCAGAAGTCCAAGGTAAAGGCACAGGCCGGCGCATACCGATCATGGAATCCCTCACCATATGAACTCTGACCCCTCAAGTCTACAAGTGAAGAGACACCATGTGTCAGCTCCTTTTAGAATAGTATTTCTTCTCTTCTCTGAGAAACAAGGGTATGAAAAGAACAGCCAGAAACAGAGGAAGAGAGGCACAACGTGACTACGTAAATGCACTCTCCTAAATATTAAACGAGTAAGAGGTGAAGAAACACAAAGCCAGAAATTGAAATGAAAAGGCACCATCATGCTTCCCCTTAGAATAGTGTGGAAATTATGAAGAGGGGACAGGGGATACTAGTGAAGAGGGACAACAGTGAAAAGGCCCAACGTATCCAACGTACTAGCACTCTCCAAAGAGACAGAAAGTCAAAGTATACGCCGAGAGGCACAACGTGACTACGTAAATGCACTCTCCCGTTTAAATTAGTTCAAGGGAAAGGGGGTGAAAAACTAAACTAATCAAAAGCAGGAAGTAGAGAGGCCTAAATGCCCTCTCCTAGATTCAGTTAAAGGAAAGAACTGGGGAACAAACAAGTACAGGAGGAAAAGCCCAACGAGTCAACGTCAACACACTCTCCTAGAATAGTTCAAGGTAAACGGGGTAGGAAGAATATAGTAAGAAACAGAGCTGAAAAGGCGTCCAAGTAGTGTCTCTACTGTAGGCTATTTGTATTATATGTACAGCACTTTGGCTCGACCAAAAATTGTTTATAAATGTGTTGTATAAATAAAACTTGATTTGATTTGATTAGGGAGAGAGCTCCACAGTGTTGGAGTTCCACCTGAAAGGCACGGTCACCTTTAGTTTTTAAACGAGACCGTGGGACAGCCAGTAAGCCCTGGTCTGAAGACCTAAGGGACCTACTGGCAATGTAAGGATGGAGAAGGTCACTTATATACTCCGGTGCATTTCCACGCAGGGCTCTATATGTAATAACCAGAACCTTCAAATCAATTCTAAAACGAGTGGGGAGCCAATGTAAGGATTTTAAAATGTGTGTAATGTGTGTCATCCTGCTTGACCTGGTTAACAGTCTTGCAGCAGCATTCTGGACCATTTGGAGGCCTTTTTTTCCTGCCCAGGTTTAGTTTAATTAATAATGGCATGCGAATGAGCAGACTGCATGTTTGTTGCTAACAGATTTCAGATAAAACATTCAAATCTCTATGTGTTTGCATAGTTAGTAAGTCCGGAGCAGCACAACAATAGATCAACCCCGAGGCTAAACCTGACTCTTTGGAGATCAACAACACTGTCAAAATACCACATTATGTGAAAGCACAACATTTTGTGATTATAATGAGGAACATATACTCAAATATAACATTTAAGGTGATTAATGCACAATACTTGCTCCTTAAGTCTATATGTTATGATGTAACTGTAATCACCCTGTTAGACATTGCATTGTATATTCCCAGTTAACTGTTAACAGTACCTTATTGTAGAGATATGTTAGAGTACAACAGCTTTACTGTTTTGGTAACAGTGTGATACTGTAAAGATGTTTTGTAGTCTGATACTGCAATTATTCTTGATAGTATTATACTTTATATTTACAATATACTAAATATAGCCTTCTACAATACACTCCTGAATCATGAATATTCCCGCACATGTACATCATTTAAATACCAAACATAAACTAGAAAAACCAGAACAAATACATGTTCATTACTGCGACAGTAGCTTGTACTTGTGAGACGTCTGCCGTACTCATGGACATCATTTAGAGCTGTCTTAATAGTTGCAGTGCTCCAGTATTAATATTGTCACCAGTTTCCGAGCTTTTCATGATATCAAGCAACTCTAGCGTTATAAAGAACCATGCAATGAAATGTCAAACTGCAGCAGTGTCTGTACTTTTTTGCTTATACTCTTGTATATTCAAAATTATGTTACATGCAGGACTTTTACTGGTTACTGAGTATTTGTACGTATTGTAGTATTGCTTAAGAGTTGATTTATTGTCTTCTATGTTTTTTATAAGTCCAGTTTTTATTAGTTTAATAAATAATGGCATGTGAATGAGCAGACTGCTGTCACGCATGTTTGGTGCTTACAGTTATCAGATAAAGTTCAAGTCATTATGTGTTTGCATATAGTTAGAAAGGCCGGAGCAGCTCAACAATAGAACAACCCTGAGGCTAAACCTGACAATACATCTGTTCTCTTTGGAAATCAACAACACTGTCAAAATACCACATTATGTAAAAGCACAACATTTTGTGATTATTATTAGGAATATGTACTCAAATATAAAATTAAAGGTAATTAATGCTCAATTCTTGCTCCTTAATGCGATGGAAACTTCTAAAGCAATGAAGAAGAGACTCAGAGAGACACGAGGAGAGCAGGGACTTTGATGGCAAACACTGATGGTTATTTGGAGCTTCGGCCGGAGAATTCACAAGACATGTCGTGTGCCACGAGTTGACACGGCGGTTGCCAAACCAATTCTGACGATCTCTACCCCAGACCCATGTATTTAGCTCTGAGAGGATAATCAACATTGTCCATAACAAGATAAAATAGACAAAGCACAATAACACCTCTATCAGCTGACGCCAACAGGCAGGAACAGGGAGACAGGACACTGAGAGCAGAGCAGCCAAGGCTACAGGTGCCTGTGCTCAGTGAGTCAGGACAGACTGATCACCTGGGTCAAAGTTATGGGCCTAGGAAAATGTTTCCCCAACACTTAAGTCTATATGTTATGATGTAACTGTAATCACCCTGTTAGACATTGCATTGTATATTCCCAGTTAACTGTTAACAGTACCTTTATTGTAAAGATATGTTAGAGTACAACAGCTTTACTGTTTTGGTTACAGTTTGATACTGTAAAGATGTTTTGTAGTCTGATACTGCAATTATTCTTGATAGTATTATACTTTATATTTACAATATATATAGCCTTCTATAAATACACTCCTGAATCATGAATATTCCCGCACATGTACATCATTTAAATACCAAACATAAACTAGAAAAACCAGAACAAATACATGTTCTTTACTGAGACAGTAGCTGGTACTTGTGAGACGTCTCATGGACATCATTTAGTTTCGGTTAAACTGCAGCAGTGTCGGCACTTTTTTGCTTATACTCTTGTATATTCAAAATGATGTTAAATGCAGGACTTTTACTGGTTACTGAGTATTTGTACGTATTGTAGTATTGCTTAATAGTTGATTTATTGTCTTCTATGTTTTTATTAGTCCAGGTCTAGTATAATAAATAATGGCATGTGAATGAGCAGACTGCTGTCACGCATGTTTGGTGCTAACAGTTATCAGATAACGTTCAAGTCATTATGTGTTTGCATATAGTTAGAAAGGCCGGAGCAGCTCAACAATAGAACAACCCTGAGGCTAAACCTGACAATACATCTGTTCTCTTTGGATGAGGTAAAACACTGTCAAAATACTGCATGAAATTAGTAAAATACCTGCATTGAAAGGATAACATAAATTATGTTTTTGTATTTACTTGCACATCTCAAAACATTGTCTTGCACTATTTTATCTGTTTTATTTGTTCTATGTCCTAAATATATTCATGTTGCACTGTTGGAGGAGTCTGTGACTTAAGTGTTTCATTGCCATATCTACACTGTAGCTAATATGACCATGACAATAACACCTTGAATCTTGAATAACATTTTGTTTTTAGAATTAGGAAAATGTATATTCCCAGTTAACTGTTAGCAGTCCCTTTACTGTAAATATGATGTTTTAAAGCAAAACAGCTCAGAAGAAGGAGCTATGTGGACACAGGGCCTTAAGTGGATTTAGCCTTTTCAGTTTTACCCTGACCTCCACACTCGTTGACCGGGCAGAGCAGCAGGGGTTTGTGGTCGGGATACAGGAGTGAATACTGACGCTGGAAGTTGTCGGCGATGGCCAGCAGTCGGATCTGGTCGGGGGAGTTAACCCTGTAGGACTCTGGACACAGCGCGTCCACCTTCAGGCTGATGAAGGGCAGGGAATACATGACGTGTTTAACCCACCGGCACATACCTTGATGCAACAACATGCTTTCATTACATCTACATATTAACTATCATCTTACCGTGTTTTATTTTCTAATGCATTTTTTGTAAAGTAGGCTACATCTCTTGTGTGAAAAGTGCACTTTAAATAAAGTGTGTTACTATAACCAGGGCTGCAAATAACTGGTGCGCAGGTGCGCATGCGCACCTCCGCCAAAAAAAGAGCACCGTGTCATTTGAAAAAAGGCGCATTTGCATACCAACATTGAGAGAGAGAGAGGGAGAGAGAAGGGAGAAGAGAGAAGGGAGAAAAGAGAAGAGAGAGAAATATATTTGCGAGTTGCATAGGAACTCAGGGCCGGCCCGTAGCGCTGGCGTAATAGATGTTTGCCTAGGGCGCCAGATCTGTGGAGGCGCTGCGCTGGCAGCTCTGGGAGGGAAAAAAACATTTTTGACTGTTTGGTGCTCATCCTAATTTTCGGCCTTGATGTAACAACATTCATAATTAAGTAAATGTAACACCCTTTTCACCCCGGTTTACACGTTTCATTTGCCCTGTACGATGGGCGCTGTAAGTGATGAAAAATGGGGGCATGTTGGCTTATCTGGCGCCCGCAGCTCTCAGCCAAAATGCGAGTGAGCGTGGGAGAGAGGGAGGGTGCACCGGTACCGGCGCTGTTGTTATTAGAATCTGGTGCCATGCTAGCTGCTCTAACGGATATAAGAAGAAGATGTTTCTACAATGATGTGGAGGGAGAGTCCTCTCCAGTCAGACTGAGAGGCTGATAATTACAGCTCAGTGAGGTAAAGGACTCTTGAGTGTTTAGATAGTTCACTTTAGTCTAAGTTCAAACGGTTTGGTCACAATTTATGTAAACACACATTTCCAAGGCACTCCTTTATAATTATTGGGATAAACAGGTTGAAATCATTCCAATGTATACTATAGGACAGTAACCACAAATATCCTTTAAAACTGGAGAGATAAAAAAAAAAACATAAATAAATATTAAGGTAAAATAAGATATGAATGAACAACACAAATAAAATAAGTTACATTAATTTGTTATTGGCTATGGTAGGTTATTGGTTATGTTCACATACTTATTTGATTACATCCACTTGTCTAAGATGACAACAGAGACTTTCCCAAAAGCAGCTGTTGACTTGTGGATGCAAGCAGCTAATCGCAGACTCAACCAGAGAGAAAGAAGTAGGCCTACATCATCAGCTACCATGTCTGACAGAGAGGAAGACAGTCAGGAGGGTAGTGATGACAGCTTGTAGGATTACTGGTCGTGCTAATGTTGTCTTGTGTTCACCTCTGCATGTGTGTTCTGTGTTCACCTCTGCATGTGTGTTCAGCGCGTGAGTCTGGCAAATAAAGTCAAGACCCCTCAAAAGTTACAGTTTATTTCATTTTAAGGATGAGCACCAAGCAACATCTCCAGGTGCTCCTTTGAGAACCAGGGCAAAAAAGTGATGTGCACCCCTGACTATAACATACTTTTTAGTAAAAATGTAACCTAAAAACTACTTAAAATGTATCATCAAAAGCAAATGACTACTTGTTTCAGCCATAAATGTATAAATATGTATAATATTGTTGAACTTTCCTGTCGGCTCTCAGACCGTAGTCGAAGAAAACAGGGGGATGACTCTCTGTTTCCTCCCAGGGCAGAAGCAACCAGCTTCAGGTTCAATAACCCCCTTTACCAGTGGTGTAGTGGGCATTGGACACGGGGGTACGCCGTACCCCCACTTATTTGGAGCATGATCTTTTTTTCAATAGTCTAATAAATATAAAATCATTGCCAGTCTTATCAGTTGCAAGTGTGTATTTGTTGTAATAATGACAAAAACATAATACATTTCATAGTAATGGCCTATAATAAAAAATAAAAACGATATCCTTCAAAAATGATGATTCGTCATCACGCTCGTGACCCCACAGCGAGCTGGGGGTGTGTCAGTGACACACCCACGGCCAGCTCACCGCCCGCCGATTTTGCGGCAGCTCTTTCCCTCAAAAACGCTAACGAAAAAGCTCTATAATGGAAGGAAAACGTTTTTTACTTGACTTCTTTTCTAAAAAGAATATAATTCACAAGAAGAAAGAGGCTAGCAGCACCGAAGCTACAAGTGAAGCTGCTACTAGTACTACATCATCAGAAGAGCCGCCTAAAGATGTGAATAATGCTAGCTAACGTGCACGTTAGCTGCGCTAGCAACGTCCCCCTGGCTAGCTCAAGTTCACCTTTCCCAGAGGTATGGACGTGCATGTGGCAGAGGAAACAAGAGGCTACCCGTGGATAGACTGCAAAGCTGGGAAACTGGGCTGCTGTTCATCCATTTCGGATTTATCAGTCTTCAAAACGCAAGGGGTGTGTGTGTGTGTGTGTGTGTGTGTGTGTGTGTGTGTGTGTGTGTGTGTGTGTGTGTGTGTGTGTGTGTGTGTGTGTGTGTGTGTGTGTGTGTGTGTGTGTGTGTGTGTGTGTGTGTGTGTGTGTGTGTGTGAAGCAGCGCTGTCTGCTTATTTGCAAAGTAGGCTAGGCCTAATCAGAATAATTTCAAGTCCAGATTCAATGTTTGCATTAGTAGGCTATATTTTTCGTTTCGTTTATTTAATAAGTTAATTTCAGGACAACTTTGGGAATTTTGTTTGTTTGTTATGAGTTTTAAATAGATTTTGAAAGTGGAGATAGAGAGAAGCAGCGCTGTCTGCTTAGTTGTAGCTTATGCAATGTAGGCCTATAAATTGTTGTAACTTATGTGCCAGTGTGCCCATGGTTTTGAGTCTATGTGTGTGTTGAGCGCAGCGCCGTCTTCTTTTTGAAGTACAGTAACTAAAGTAGGACTAAGCATACCGGTAGTTTCTGTGGACCTGCATGTCTGCCCGTTTTGTGAGTGCACTGCGCGCGTGCGCACTTGTGTGGCATTGTTTGGGATGACCTAATTAAAATAGCGTCCCCCCAGTAAAAAAATCCCCACTACACCACTGCCCTTTACTGAAATGACTGGAGAGAAGCGAGCTCTTCTTGGGAGGCCGTTGCATTTATTTAGTTATTCTTGGTACACACAATACCAGTGGCGAGACGTCAGCGCCCTCTAGGCCCTCTGTGAGGGCCTAAGATATTCTAAAAAATAATATTTGAAAACATTATAAAAAAAAACATTTTTTTTTTAAATATTATTTTTTATATATTTTTTTAGTTTTTTTTTTTTAACCCTAGGTATAAAAGTCACGGCTCGCCACTGCACAATACTTGATATACCTATATCTTCTGCTGCCTCTTTTTCACTTCCAGAAAACACACGTTCACTCACTCTCGCTCTACCATACCCACACACACATGCATGCGCCACACCCCTCTCTCTCTCTCTTAAAGGGATAGCGATCTCACTCTGCATGACCCTAATATCATAACAATATGTAGGAGCTTTAGCCCGATACAAAAGCTTCCATGGTGGCTTAAATCCCGGGGATGAGTTGGCTGACGCGCTTTACTGTGTTTATAGATACCGGTTGTGTTGTTATTGTAATGGCTTAGGCTTGTTATCGGATGTGGAATAGACAAAGTACATTCCATGTATTGAGCAGGTTTTGTGCATCGTCAAAGTGAGGTCCATACAATTATCCATTCAATAACAAACTTGCGGTACAGCAGTCAAAAACCATTTGCCCTTCAGGGTCAGACACACTCAATCAGATGACAAAACAAACCTTAAATACCTGTGCCACAGGGAATCGGACAGCGACACCTTATGGCACACACCGTGAATAATGGCACATTTCCACTGCAGCGGGGTATCCCCGTTTAAGCGTCCCTAAGCGTCCGCGCTCAGGCTGCCTCGCTGGCCGTCCGAGGCCATGGCGCATTTCCATTACAGTTTAGGACCTGGGGTAGCAACGCAGTGTAGGCGGGGCGATCGGCTTCACATTTCGAGTTGTTCCTTTGAGCTCCCGCTGGATTTTATCATCCCCAATGAGATGGAGGAACGTTGTCACCTCCTCGGTCGACCACGGTGTGCTTTTCTGTGACGTTGCCATTTTTGTAGCTCCTCCGTTTACAAAAATGCTGTGTATAAAAATGCTGCAAGCTTGCTTCTAGATATATATGCGACGCTAGGGATGATCTCGCGCGCGATCTTGTGACGATTCTCTCTGACCAATCAGCAGTCGAGAGCGTTGACGTCACTAGTTCAGCTCTGGCCTGATAGAACCACGATTTTATGGGGCTGGAAAAAGAGGGAAACAGTACCCGCTAGCCGGTGCTACACTATATGGAAAGGCCACCAAAAACTGGCCTGGCCGCTTGAGGACGATTAAAGACGCTTAAACGGGGCTACCCGCTGCAGTGGAAATGCGCCATAACACCCAATTGTGACATTCCGAAACCCAAACATGAACTCTCATCTAAATGGCTCTTACACACCGGCCCCTAATTGTAAGTGACAGGCTTTCAAGTTCCCCAAAAAAGAGAGCCATTACCATATCACTACTGTTTTATCATCCAGACATGGATCCAGTTTGTAGATATAGGATTTGTTTAATCCTTGGCAAGCACAGTCCCTTTTGACTTGTGTGCCGTCCAATGGAATGCTGCTCTCCATGAGATTTGCTGACCAGTGGCTTCCTGGTTTCCAAAGAAAGTTGGAATATTCAATCATAGTAAGGAAAATGTCTGTCTTATGGACATAGTTAACATGGTGTTTGTCCTTCAAATGTACTGATGTCCGCACAATGGAAATGTGATGTCAACTTCCAATGCAAATTCCCTACCACCGGCAGGACACATTTTACCAACTATGCCTACACACATGCAACACTTGGGGGTTCTATATGCATGTGTCTGAGGGTAAAAAAGTCATCATTCTGTATATAAATATGTTTGTCAATATCATGGACATCTCCTGCTAAATTGGGATCCACAAAGCTGACACCCTGCTGACACAGCAGTGACTCTGCTGTACATTTC